GAGATAATTATTCACAGAGATTTACTAAATATTTGATCCACAAAGTATGCCTGTGACTTCTTGCACGCAATGCATTCAATATTCTACTTTCAGGCCATGTTGATTAGCTTTGATTGGGCCCATAGGTTACATGGTATTGTTCCCGTTCCTTGACCCGATGAACATAACAGCTAGAATCCCATTTCTAGAGCAAATGCTCATGTTAATAATTTAAAAGTTCCCATTCCACAAATATTTTCTAATATCTGCTATTCCCTTGAAAATTCCTTCCAGTAAATTCATGCGCAGAAACGCAAACACCAAAAGGAAGAAAATTCGAAATACGAAGAGAGAATGTGGAGATATTCACCCAGCGCAGGTTCAGATCAAACCCGGAACATCGTCTATATATAACTGCTTTGTGATTGAATTGATTTGGCTACACATACACATACACAGAATAGTATGTTCTATTTGAACAACCCCTAACACAATGGGGTCCCGGATCACGACTAAGTGGCCAGCGCTCAGAGTCCTCTTCTTGCGAACGTGGGGGCAGAGGTGCAAGACTAAATACTACTATTAATTACTGTACCGACAAAGATCCAGCAGAAGACAACCTGACATGGCTATGCTCAACCTGCTAACACAATAAACCATAAAACTGCACATTCCTTACCAGACTAGGATAGCTCAGGTATACCACAGTATTGCATATTTATAGTATTTTAATGAGACATGCAATACCTGTGTTTGTCGCATAAATCGAGTACATACTTAGACAATTTTTAATGAAGAGTCTATTATTTACTTGATAGACAGCAACATTTCCTTTGAAACCATTACAAAGCAGACAGCGTGATCTGGTGGTTAGATTGGGAGACTGGGAGTCAGGACTCCTGGGTTCTTTTCTCTGTTCTCTCACTGTGTGAACTTTGTTGCCTCGAATGACACATGCTAGGTAAGGACACAGACGCAAGAGAGGGGTAAAGAAAATTTGGGCTGAGCCTATGTCCAGCACTCAGGAACTCCCTTGGTTCTACCCTTAGCCCCATCATGCACATACAGTGAAACTCACCCAAGGAATGGAGGACCCATGAAAGATTCTCTAGGCATCAGCCTCCGATGGACCAAGGTTGCAACCACCTGGTCTCCTGTCAGGCTGCAGATGTGAGGTGTGAATGCCAGAGTGGGCGCTTCACCCCCAGACACATGAAGCAGCTACGAACACACAAGGGCAACCCCCAGGCATTTGGGGGGTCTTAGATGAAGAGCACCTGAAAACTCCCATTGACTTCAATAGGAATTGTGGGTCCTTGGCACCTTTGAAAATTATAATAATATCAAGGAAACTATGAGAGCCTGGGGAAGTTTGAGTATTGATGCCACGAAAAACTTCACTTCCAAAAATTAAACCACAGGTTTTAACCAAAAAATTAACCCGTACATCAAACCAGGGAAACTTTGTTCCCTCCATTTAATGTACACGCTCTCTTAAAACAAACTTTTCTTGCTTAGGGGTGGGGGTGGGGGGATCTTAGAAACTCTCCAGCATATTTTATGTTCCACCTAATTGCTTTCTGAAAAAACCTTTCCTCCTCCTTTTAATTTAGCCTACAATAATAACAATCAATTTATTGTATATTCGTGGGGGCCAAATCTGGTACAACTTGATGGATTTAGTGGAGTCGCACCAGGGTAACAGAGCAGAAATCAACCCATCATATTTTAACCAAACTTCTCGCTCTTTTATGACACATGCTGGAACCAGGTGATCAATTACTTCCAACCTCTTTCCATCCTTTCCTTAACTTTTGGCTGAAACCCTGTTGTGATTCACAATAGGGGAGGGGGGAAGGGGAGAAAATCGATGTCTTAAATATAGCAGCGCTAGGAGTTATGTTTATGACGTTGGAGCAAAGAAATGGATCCAGCGGACTCCCTGCAGCGTAGAAGAGATGGACCAGCTTTGTGATTTAGAGATATCACAGGGGACTGCTACACAGGGAATCCAAGTTCAAGTTTTCAGCTCTCTCCTGAGCAGCTTGGGCCAGGAGTTGCCAGCAAGGCTTTTAAAGCAGCATATTCTACCCTGGAGAAAGCAACGCACTTTACTCCAAAACCGAACCATCGCTCACCAACACAAATGGCCAGATGAGGTGGAACAAGAGGGGAGCAAAGATTCAAAAAGCTCAGCAGGATGGGGAGTTCAGATAATGCAGAGACCAAGGATGGGAGTGAGGAGAAAGCAAATGAGGGAGATACTATTGACAAGAGGGCTCTGAAAAATCTAATCGTACAAGGTGACAAAATCTACATATATTTTTCAAATTTGCTTTCATGCAAAAGTGTCTGGCTAGCATGAATTGCTTCCATAGCCCCTCTCAACAGCATGAAGTGGGGCTTGGAGAGCATCTCTCACTCTAATGCAGGACATATTCAGCCCTGGCATAAGCTGGCACAAGCCCTATTAAAGTCTGTCGTGTTTTACACAGGTAAATCTGTTCCCACAGTTACTTAACTTTTTCAGGCAATTTTTTCTCTGTCTTGTGAACTGATCTGGTGTAGGGGGACGTAGAGGTCACTGCGTCCAGGGGGACCGGTGTTGACACACAGATATTGGCATTTTAAGGTAGCAATTTGGAAGTTGGCATGTTGCTCCCTGGAAATCTATGGCTATTTGAATTTATTTGACACTATCTATAAGAGGGAAAAGAGCGCCGTGCATAAAAACCCATCAGTTTCTGCTCATCACTAAATACGCTGGGTCAAGCTACGTCCACTGCCACCTGAATTTGGCCCTTACTATCTAACCCAGCATTTCCTGGCTTGATCCCCACTAACTACTAACTGCCACGATCTAACAGTCCCCAGTAAGTCCACATGCTAATGGCCTGTAGGTCTTTAATAAATCCTCTCCCCTGACATACCAGCGTAACCTTCTCAGGTAAAGTGCTAACCATGGTGCAAAGAAGATGCCTGATGTGCAGCAGGCTGATATCCACTTGCTTTACTTATTATTAATAATTTATAAACTGCTGCAAATGTTCATGGCGTTGCTCAGGGGTAGGACAGTGCCGAAAAGGTCACAGATCCCTGCCCTGGAGAACATAGAAGCTAAAGGCACGAGGAGAGAGTCAGAAACAATAGCTAGCAGAAACCAATGGGCGAAACTGATGTTTGTTGTTCTTGTGAGTTTCTGACAATTCACTTTCACTCAGTATTGATTATCGTTTCTTCTGACTTTAGATGGGAACCAGGGCAACACTCTGATGAATGAACTGAGCAGTTCCCTAGTTCCACAGCAATTTCTGTTAGTCTCTCTCCAACTCACGTGCTGATCCGCTATTTGGTAACTTTCTTACAGAAACGTTCTGTGTATTACACAGACATCCCTACACTTTCTATAGGCACACGGCACTTAACAGACTAATTCCCTTCTTTCTCGAGCAGTGGAGGAAAAACACAGCCACACAAAAGCTGCACTGGAATTAAGGGCTGGTAGTTTTTACATTTGTACCATTCGGTACTGCAGTTTGAAAGGACAGACCTAAAACCAGGTTAAAATGGGTATAAATGTGCCCATCGTTCATCACAATGAGTATGTGTGCACATGCACGCACACAAAAAGCTTCTGAGGGTTTAAAGTTTCTGTTTCAAACATATTTGCTTCCTGCCCCCTGGCACCAAAGCTGATGGCAAAGCATGAAACCTAAAAGACATTAAACAGAATTAACCTAAACTGATTTATGGGATTCACAGCCCTGTCTGGCCTCCCTAGCCAACTGCCCACCTGGCATAGAAGTCTATGCCCCAGCCTCTGTGAGTGCTCATGCAGCTGTAACATCCCAGATCTGACCTAGCCTGCCCACGACAACCTGGAGAGAACGTCTTTGGGCTGGCTTTATAGAAGAGACAATTTAGCTGTAATGTCTCTGACCTAGCCCGTCCTATGAAAACATCCAACCAGCTGCCATGTCCCTGCTGGGAGTGCTCCGCCCCTGCCTTGCCCAGCCCATGTCAATGTCCACGTGAATATAACATCCCTGGTCTGGCCCATGGGAGTGCCCACCTGGATGTACGGTCTCTGACCTGCTCCATCCTTATGGGAGCCCAGCTAGCTGTCATGTCCCTGTCTGTTCATGTCATTACCTGCCTGCATGCTTTGCCCTTTGCATGACCTACCCCTCCCAGTGCCCACCTGGCTGTCATCCCCCTGGGCTCTGCCATCTAGCGGCCACATGGCTCACATGACCTTTGCCTGCCTTTCCCCGGCTGTGCCCACCTGCCCTTGGTGTCCTTGCCCTGTCCCTCCCATTGCCCACCTGGCTGCCATGTGACCTGCCCAGGTGTGAGCTGAGCTCACCTGCCTGTACTCCCCCCATTCTTTGAAGCTTAGCTGGCCGCAGGCCCCTCCCCCAGGCAAAGGTGTGGGCAGCCCCATGTGAATGTCACCTGTCACCGCCTGGGGCAAGGAGAGCGCAGCCCCGTTGGGGGAGCCTGCAGACAGACGCAGAGGAGCAACTTCCAAGCCCCCTTCCTTAAAGTGCCAACGCTGCAAATAAATAAAGAAATAAATACCCCCTTGCAACTCCCAGTCCCCCCCCCCAGCCCCTCCAGATCGCCTCCTCCGCCCCCTGGGCGTACTGTCTACCCTCCATTAAAAAAGGGAGGTGGGGTGGGGTTGGGTTGTTGTTTTTTTTGTTTGTTTTTGGCAAAAGGGAGGGGGCGAAAAACTATTTTTATTTCTTGTGCATGGGAAAAATAATTAAGGGGAGGAGGAAAAGGCAGTGAAGCAAAATGGCGACTTTTTTATGTAGAAGGAGGAGAGAGGGAGAGGGAGAGAGAAGGGGGGGAGGCATCCCAGGCGCGCCGCGAAAGGAAGCAGCAAAATCCTCGGGAGGGGGCGATCGGGCCCGGGGAGGGGGCGACCGGGCGGAGTAAAAGCAGGGCCAAGGGTGGAAAAGGGCCGGGGGAGGGCGGGGGAGGGGAGGAGGGTTGCCGGGGGGGGGGCTCCTTACCTCGGTGCTTGTGGCGAGCTCTCCAGGGCCCCGCACACACGCACACACACACACACACACGCGTGCTTGGAGCGGGCGAGGCGGCGCTGGCTCATGCGCGATCCCCCGCGCCCCCCTTCCCGGCTACCTTTGACAGTTTTACGGTCGGGGAAGAGGGAAGCAACTTGCAACTCTCGCGTTATTATTTTAATACTGCAAGGAGCCTCCGCTCGGAGACAGTGGGCTCGTCCCCCCCCCGCCGCTCCACCCCGGGCGCCTGGGTGGAGACCGGGGGGCTTGGAGAGGCGAGCGCGGGCACCCTGCGACGCGCCCAGGGCGCAGGAGGCAGGTGCGCCCCGGAGCAGCGCGCTTGGAAACGGCCAAAGGTGGGAAGTGGCCAGCGCTCGGGGCCCTCTTCTTGCAAACGTGGGGCAGAGGTGCAAGGCACCCGCTGCCTGGGCGCCCGAGGGCGCAGGGGACTGGTGCCGGCTGGCAGAGGGTGGCTCTGCCCAGGCCCCCTTGGATCAAGGGGCTAGTCCAGCCCTCACCCGGAGCAAAGGGGACGCTGGTCCTCCCAGACTCCGGGTTTAATTTACAATGGGGGTGTGTCTTGTGTGTGTGCAAACAGACCAATTTATTTGAGCATAAGCTTTCGATGCATCCGATGAAGTGAGCTGTAGCTCAGGAAAGCTCATGCTCAAATAAATTGGTTAGTCTCTAAGGTGCCACAAGTCCTTCTTTTCTTTTTGCGAATACAGACTAACAGGGCTGTTACTCTGAAACCTGCAAACAGACCCTGGCTCCCCATAGTTTTTCCCTCAGTGAGGCTAGACCCAGAGGGGCTGTGCCCGACCCTGGTTAATTCTAAGGATGTCCCTCCCAGGGGGGCGGAAATAATTTTTATAGCAGGGGTGCTGAGAGCCACTGAACCAAACTGTAAACCCTGTATTTAATGGAAACCACTTCAAGCCAGGGGGTGCAACAGCACCCCCAGTTCCAGCACCTATGGTCCCACCTCAGCAGAAGTCGACTCCCTGGTACATACACACCCGTTACGTAGGCCAAGCAATCAGGGGATATGCTCCCAGGAATCTGGATTAAATAAGCAAGATATGAAAGGGCAATTTCTATATCAGGAATAAAAGAGAAACAACCCCTGGCCATAATGTCCCAAGTATTTCTCTGGCACCCAAGGAGGGAAGTTAAGCACATGGATAAGAATTTGCAGGAAGAGGGCCTGTGTGCGCAGAGTGCTTTGCAAGCGTATAAGACAATGGTCTGGATTGTTCTCTATCAGGTAGCTTGTGGCCTCATACAACCCTGTGGAAAGGGAGTGCCCACTGATACCACCACATCAGAAGGGTAACGCTTCACAGCCGCCTTGCCCAGCTGTCAATAGGCCAGGTGCTCAGCAGTGGAGAATCAAGCCCACTCTTCCAAAGAGTTCAAAGTCCAAGGGCCTCATTGACTTCAGTTGGAGTAGGACAGCAGGGAGGGTTTTGCAGGATCATGCCCTCCAGGAGCAGATTACTTGCAAGCAGATCTTCATGAGCTGACCCGAGGCGGGGGTGGGAAAAGAGTGCAGTGAAACTCTGAACAGAAGAAGGTGGAACCAAGCCAGCACTGCGCTGGTATCAATGATTATTATTGCTAGTGCAAATGCACGCAAGGGCTAAATCAAGCTCAGCTGTTGGCATCCAAAACTGAGATTATTTTCTGGGGAGAAAAAAAAAGTCCTCCTTCTCACCAAGTGTCAAGTACTGAAAAGAGAGAGTCACCCTCAGATGGGGTTAATTAGAAGGGAGTCAGAAGGTAGGTTGGAAGGTGAGGCCCATGACCCCTCTGTGCATATCGGGATGTCAAGTGATTAGGGTGCAGGGAAGGGGGAGTTAAGAAACCTCAGACCTTGAGCATGTGTTACCTTGATTTCCCCATCAGTATAGTGTGCCTTGATTTCCCCATCTGTACACTGAGGATAATACCAGGTGCTGTATAAGTGCCGAAGATTGTTACTGTAAAGATAATAGAAATTACAGCGGTACCCAGAAACTGAGAGCTGTCATGTTGGGAATCTCCAGTCTCGTTCCTCCTTAGGACAAATGCCATTGGCTTTCGTGGCTGGCATTTAAGACAAGAGCACTCTCACAGACTGGCAGAAGGGTTGGTAGATTTTCCCCAGGCATTCAGTGTCCCAGACCCCATCCTTTAAGTACCTTTTGTCACAGTCCATGTAGTACCACACACACCTTGCATTTATACCTGAACCTTCATGCCTGGCTCTCAACATGATTTAGGTACATTTGTGGATTAAGCCACATGCCACCCATCTGAGGGAGAGAAGTATTATTACCCCTGTTTTACAGATGGGGAAACTGAGGCACAGCACCGTGTGATTAAAATAGGGCCCAATCCTGAAAATACTTACAGGAACTACTCACGTGAGTAAAGTCATATGTGTGCGCATGCTCATAAGGACTGCCCCAACCCCAGGTTAGCAAAGCCAGTAACAGAACCCAGGTGTCTGAGTCCTATGTCCTAACTCTAACCTACCCCAGCCATGGGCTCTATAAAGACTCTTCCACCACCTCTTGCTGCAAACAGCACACATGGGGAAGGGGATCCAAATTTTGCAATTTCTGCTGCAAAAAGCCTTGGAAGTAAAAAAGCCTCAGAAAAGTTCCTGCATGGTTCATGGCCCTGACAAGATCGCTCAGGCTCAGCTTACAGCGGGGGCGGCGGGGGGGGGGGAGAACAGGGAGGGATTTTCGTTTGCTGGGGGAAGTTGGCACAATGTGGCGTGCAGATGAATATCTAACTCCCCCCCTCCAACACTGCCTTTTGATGGTGGCAGTGGAAATTAACAACCGCGAGTAGGAAGAGCCTTCTGAGATCTCAGAAGATACTCTGCAGCTGTGTGTTAAAACTTAGAGCCAGAGTCATCCCCGGCATCTACTTCACGGATGCCAGTGGAGTTATGGCAGAGATGAAATGGGCCAGTGGGGTGTTAATGACACGAAAGCTAAAACAAGAGCTGCTTTACTAACCCAGTTAGTGGGGAAATTAGATGTACGAGCCGAGCCCTTGCAACTTTCTGAGCAAGGTAACAGAACCTCGCATAATTAGGGCCCTACCAAATTCACAGTCCATTTTGTTCAATTTCACGGTCATAGGAGTTTAAACATCATTAAATGTAATGATTTCAGCTATTTAAATCTGAACTGTCACGGTGTTGTGGGGTAGGGGTCCTGACCCAAAAAGGAGCTGTGGGGGGGTTGCAAGGTGATTGGGGGGGGTTGTGGCATTGCCACCCTTACTTCTGTGCTGCTGCTGGTAGGGCGCTGCCTTCCGAGCTCTGTGCCTGGCCAGCAGCCGCCGCGCTCCAGCTCTGAAGGCAGCGCAGAAGTAAAGGTGGTAATACCGCGATCGCCCCCTAAAATAACCTTGGCACTTCCCTGCAACTCCCTTTTGGGTCAGGACCCCCAGTTTGAGAAACACTGGTCTCCCCTTTGAAATCTGTATAGCATAGGGTAAAACCACACAAAAGACCAAATTTCACAGGGGAAGACCAGATTTCACAGTCCGTGACGTGTTTTTCGTGGCCGTGAATTTGGTAGGGCCCCACTCATAATGCATTGAGACTGGCTTGGAGCCGGCCATCAAGAACACAGTAAAACACAGATGTCAGCATAGTGAATAGTCCCTTAAAGGGCACCAAAACAACTTTTAATTTGTTAATTTTTCTTTCTCATTTTGGGCAAGGCCACAGTAGGCGGGCTTCCACCATTTTCAGGGAGAAAGTGCAGAGGAGAGTCCCACCTAAGGAATCCCATGTCAGGAATTTGCTAGTGGGTTCCCTTCTTGTCTCCATCCCAATGAAAGAGCTTAATTAACATCTGTGCAGAGCATATAAGTGTATAATAATAATAATACCTAATAATTAGAGCAGAGGGCGATAAGTGAAGGACCAGCTCACCTTCTTGCTATAATATGAGGCATATCTTGGGCAGCTTACTTCCCAGCCAAGCAGCCGGATGTGAAGAGAGGCATGAAGCTGCCTCAGTCAGGGAAGCCGGGAAAGCTGTTACTGTCAGACAGTTTCATGCTCCCAGTGGGACTGTGGATCATCTTGAGCACGTTCAGAGACTCCTCCTCAGGACAAGGTCGCAAACCGAGTGCAGATTGCCTCCTTAAACGCTCCTATGCCACCCGTTCCTCCACTGCTGGCTAGGCCTACCACGCGCACCCGTCCTGAGAAATACGCACCCGCCGACTGGCCTGCAGAGCAGGAGCCTGGAGGTCTAAGGGAAACAGAATGTACCCTCCCACCTGGAATGGGCTCTCCTTCCTCGTCATTGCCTTACAGACATGATGTAGGGGAGCCCTTGCTCAGTGCCATGAAGTTTGCTCTCCGCATTTTCTACGTCTGAGCGATGAGCACAAGGTAGCCCAACCACCTAGAACAGCATGAGTAGCAGCGAACAGCAGGTTTGACTGAGGCACCTAACTCTTAAATAGTAACCCTGATGGACTTTATATTATACTATTTTCAGACCATGCTGGGACAAGGGGAAGCAGGGCAAGAAGTTAACTTGGAAATCCCCCCAGCAAATTTAGAACAGATGTCGGGAAGCTGTGTGCAGGCAGAGAATTGTAACCAGGTGCAATAGCCTTCCAGGAGGGGCGGCAGGAGCCATAAGGAAGGAAACCTCGGAGGTCCTGTATGGAGCAATTAGGTGGTGCTGGAGGAGCGCGAGAGGTCTGCAAGGGGGAATGAGCCACGAGGAACTGCTTAGCTTCCCCCTCTCCTTGGATTTGTAAAAAAGAGTATTGGCATATAACCTATGCACATAAAAACAGAGCCACACAGCGTGGGGGGATTTCATCGAGGCAAATCACTCTGCACAGCCAGGGGGAGGAGAAGGCGCTTTGCAGCTTCATTGTTAGAGATCAGCTGTGAGAGCTGCAGCCCAGATTCTGATCCATTCCATGAGTGTAAGTTTGAGGTGACGCCACTGAAATCAACAGCTACTCTGGATTTACACTGTGTGATTAAGATCAGAGTTCGGCCTCTTCTTATTATTTATATTATTCTACAGAAAAAGAAGAAGAAAAAGTCAGTCCCTCTTACTCTAGGTTCATGCCTGATTTACTTTTGCATAAAACTGGAGTGGGGAAATCTGGCCCATAACATAGAGGGTCTGATTCTCCAGTGCTTTGCACCTTTGTCACCATTTACACTGCATGAAAATTGGGTGTGAAACGCAGCCAATTTAGAATGGTG